TAATGGTGGAAAAGGACAATATTGGGTTTAACCAATAATTTTTGGCATATACACTGAGTGGCCAGATTATTATGACCACCCCATCAGTACTTCGTTGGGCCACGAGATGACTCCATGAGATGACTTCGTTGGGCCCCCTCGTGACTCCACGAGATGTTGAAAGGTGATGCGAGGAATCTGACACTGCACTGTTGCCCTTCTGTTGTCTTGTACCAGTTTTTCCACTCTCCGTTCTGCCCTAACATTGACTAGTCGCTGACGGCCACAATTCGCATATTCAGACCCAGATTGTCGGCTGACAGTCCAGTCTTTAAACACTTTAACAACAGCTGCTCTTGAACATTTAACAAATTCTGCTGTTTTGCTGATACTCGCTCCATGGCTCCGAGCGCCAACAATCATCCCACGTTCAAAGGCTGTTAAATCGCGTTGTTTACCCATATCTTCAGAAGAAAATCACTTCTACTGTCGTGGTAAACAACCTGCTTCCCTATTTATAAGGGTCTGGCCCTCTAGCAACTTCGCCATGAAATTATAGCTAATTTGCCTACAAACGTCAGGTGGTCATAATAATCTGGCCACTCAGTGTAAATTCCTGCAACACAGTGATTGTCAGGTATGTGTCCATTGCCTATATACATTGGGAGAAATTTATCAAACTGGAGAAGACAGAATCTGGAGCAGTTGTCCATAGTATAGATTCAGCTTTCCTCTTCAATTTGCTCAGTTAAGCTTTGAAAATGAAAGGTAGAAGCTGTTTGGTTCCCATGTACAGATGCTCCAGATTTTGTTTGCTCTCATTTTGCTAAATTCCTCCCTTGTGGTGGAAGGTGTCCCTCTTCTCATCTTATAAAGTGCTACAACTGATATCTATACTATAGGGCTTCTGCAAAGAATACTAAGAACTTAGATACACACTTTTCTACCCAGCATTGGGATCAACGGGACTCCCTGGACATTGGTGTTTAGTTGTGACTTACCTCTACGCAGGCTCCATGTCTCTCACTGCTCCTGTGATGTGATGTCACAGATGGGACTATACAGGCTCCACTGACCAGAATACTTTCACTCAGTAGTGCCTTTGAAAGGTTGCCCAGTGCTAAAACACTCTGAGGGTAACTTATCAAAACTGGAGCAGGCAAAATCTAGAGACAACTTTGCATGGTAACCAATCAGCTTCTCTCTTTAATTTTCAAATCTTAACTGACCAAACTGAAGAGAGGAGCTGATTGGTTGCCACGGGCAACCGTTCCAGATTTGTTTGCTCTAGTTTTGATAAATGAACCCCAAAGTATTCCATTTTCCAGCACCTGCTGCCACTTGGCACAGAGTCTCCCTCCAGCGTGCATTGAAAAAACCCTGCATACAAGGCCTGCTCATTGTAGGGGCAGGGAGGATTGGTTACTGAAGATTCTATAGCAGGCAATATATCCTGCAGAGATCAGTGGAGTAGGCAACAGGAGAGGCGAGCATCTACATTTTTCTTTGCATGGAGCTACAGTTTTTTGATTTAGAGACAGTTGCTTTACCCATGCAACTCACCTGATGGACTGATAGAATATACACATACATACACATGATTAACACCTTCCTTTCCTCATTTTAGTCGGACAAGCAGTTTCTAACTTGAGGGATAATGAACCTAACATTCTAGGTGTATACCAAAAGTGCCCATACATCACATAGGACTATCAGGTTTGGGCCTAAGATGACCCTAAGCATCTTCTATAAGTATCTGGTGACACAATTGAAGGGCAGAAATGTTACATGGGAACATGTTAAGTATCTGGGCATAGTCTGCTGACTGTTTTGGGTATTAGGAACTAACTCTAGGTAACATATGAAAGTAGTGAACCGCTTATGCTATCCAGTAAACTGTGCAAAAGTCACAAACTCCACAGACATTACCTTATTTTGGATCTTATGCAATTAACTGTAGATTGATTCCAGAGAGCACCTTACAGATACAATAGGTGGGTTTGCTTTCTGAAATCTATGCTGTGCTACTACCCCTTTCTTTTCTATGTATTAACAGTAGATCCAAGATAGGTTTAAATATGATTAGAGGCTTTGTCGAAGAAGTAGGGCCCTTGAACTTAGTACCAGAAAGTCAGACATTATGTATTGGACATCATGGAATCTGGAGTGGCAGGGTCACAGAATGGGAGCCTGAATTCCTGAGTAGATAGGGAGTGACTCTATGGGGTTGATTTACTAACCTTATAAACACACCATGAACAAGTATACACCTCTGTACTGTGTTCCCTCCCAGCATGAGCTATTGGTGGAATCTAGACACCTTTGTAGTGTGTAAACACCCAGCAGGTGTTTTGTGCAAAGCCAAGCATGAATTGCATGGTGATGTTGTGTAAATTACTCTATGTTGTGTTGCTTGCGTTGATGAATGCAGGAATGTAAATGCATGAGCTAACCATTTTTGTCTAAACTGTGAAGCAGCATTATATATGCATCATGTGCATGATTTTTCCATATATGGCATTAGTGGAAATATGCTTTTAGAGACTTGCATGCCGTTATTTGAGCGGCGTGTAGCCTATGGCGCATGCTACATGACGCGCACGTACGTAAATACATAAAAACGCGCCATAACGGCGTGAAAATGTTACACGTTGCTCGTGTTTGGTTGATAAATAAGTTTTGCTGTGTAAAAATGCACACTCACCTGGTGCGTGTGTGTGTTTAGGTTAGTAAATCACCCCATATGTGTTTTTAGCTAGTTTTTCATTTTGATTAGACTGTACCTATGCTGTGGATTGTTAACTGGTCTTTTCTCTATGCATTAAAGTGAACCTGACATGGCCTAAAAAGTGCCTGAGGTATCAATACTAAAGCAAATACAACCTGTGGTTCCAAAACGTAGAACCACAGGACCTTGACTTCTGACCAGATGGACAATAATCCTCAACCACTGTTATTCAACTGCCAGATATTAGGGCCTCTTCTGCCCATTAAGACTCTAGATGATAGCCGAATGGCAACGCAGGGCCTAGTGTCTGGTACAGACGGCCTTAAACCCACTGATTTAATAGTTTCTCACAACAGTTACATTCATGGCATGCCCCTGGTGATAACCACAGTTAGCCACAGTTGCCAATGTGATTATGTCAGCTCTCAGTCAGACAATCCTTCAAATGTCTGGTGTCATAGCTAATCACATGCGCAGCACCATGGCCACTGAAGACCTAAATAGATGTTAAGATGGCACCTTCCTTGGCTGTAAAGGATAAGAGGGGTTAGTTGTGCTTTAATGCTTCGACTTGGAAAGAAGTGGGAGTCTCATGTAGACCAATACAGTTTCTTGCAGGAACAATAGGCTGTCTGCATTTCTGCTGCCTGTACTGTGCAAATGGCAGTTGACCAGGACACTTAAAGAGAAAGCAAATATGGACACCAGAGAAGTTGAATTTCCTTGCCCTATGCCTGAACAAACTGTCTCTCTAGCCAAAAGTTTTCATTTTAGTTCTGGATAGAATGGGTAATGGTTAAAACCACTGTTACGATTTTATTGCTGTCTGTCTCCATTTGTACTGGTGACCATTGTCACTGGGACCAAAAGTAATGAGAAAACAAAACTGTAGAGTTATCACAAGAAAAGGAGGTGAAGGGAAATTTGTCTAAAGCTTGTCATACACGTTACCATATGATTATGCAATCTTTGTACAATCTTCTTTAGATTTGCCGAAATGTTGTAATGTAAAGGCCTGCCTAAACAATCCATTTAGTTTGACGTTTCTTTTTACTTCCTGTAGTGTCTCTGCAACAGAAACAGAGGGGAAATCTCCCCAAACGTGACCCAGCAAAAAAACTACAATTTCTTGCTCCATCCCAATCCTATTGAAAAGTATTGGCTATGGATACACTTTTATCTCTATACAATGACTCACACATCAACAGTTGTAAGAAATAACCTACTAAATGCATAGTAGCAGTCAATAATTTACATTTTAATCGCATCACAAAATCTGATTCACTTTTATCCCCGGATTTTTCTTTCCTCTGGACACAGAGTATGATTCATAGTGTGAACGAAGACAAAAGCATAAAAGAACAAAAAAGTAGTCGCTTGCTTATGCTCATATAGACTAACCATATGTATTATAATCACTTAGTCATTGTGGTTTAATAGTATTAAAGACAATGCAGAAGGTGAAGACTGAAAAAAGCCTGCCAATTGAGTTACCTCATTTTTCCAGAAAAGTAAATCTTCTGTTGTATTGATCTAGCACATACTTATCCAGAAAAAAAAGAAAATCGTAGATTCCTTAGATCTAGATCTTGTGTGCAAACCTTACAAATAGAGTTGTATTGTCTATATGACAGTCCGTTAACAGGCATTTCTCCTAGCATTTAAACTCTGGCTGGGAACACTGCAGCAACTGCTCCTGACTCATACAATTTTATGTTCAATGGACGTGCATTGATAATGAATAGATAGTTATATCCCAATTAGTGATTTTTTTTTTATGACTTCCAAATATATCACTGCTATAAAAAGTGAATTGTCACTAAACTAAAGTTTCTAAAGTTCTAAACCATTTTCTTCCAAGAACTCAGACACAGCAAAATATAACTTTGCAACTGATGGGGGCTAACATCTCCACATGTTGTTCCACTGACATAATAACACACGGATGTTACATATTCACATGGTTAATGCATGCAGTATGATGAACACAATCGTTTTCTAAACATCATATATTACAAATATGTTATAGATTTTTACCCACAATATCTAGACCTCTGTAATGTTAATAGGCATATAACAATCATATAAAAGATGGAATGCACATAACCTTGTTTAGGAGATGACAAAATACATAGAAAGGAAACTTGAAATAAATGTTTTAATGAATTGTAATTTGAAGACCTAAGAATATTAAATGGAAATGTTTTTTTCTGTGGATAAAAAGGATGAGTATTTCGCATTGAGGATTAAGACTATTAGCAGCAAGAATAATATATATAGACAATTGTATTACCTGCCCATTTTCCCATTGATTTAAAGAAGGAGGGTGATGGTATTCCCCAAAGTTGTGGAAAGAGGTATTTGGAAAATCCTAAAAATTTCAGGGTGAGTTGCAGGCATAAAAGAAGTCCTAGGACAGTGAAAATCTGCTGAACGAGCAGCTCCATGCCAGCAGATTCCTGGATGCACACAGTGCTGTGCCTCACTCTCTTACTCGCTCCTTAGTTACTCGCTGGAGAGTTCTTGCCTAACAACTGCTAGGGAGAGAGCTCTGAAATCACATGTATCCCAAGAGAACATGCAATGGCTTGCAGTTCAGCTTACATGGTTACTCCTTCTCTCCTCCTTTTTCCCTTAGGTTTATAGATTATCTATGTTAGTTACTTAACACATAGAACACCTATATGTTCAATGTGTTTTGGGACCGTAATCCCTTTTTTATATCTGTATAAAGGGCATTGAACAACTGTCATTTTTTGTATTAGTATTTGTATGTGTTCAGATTTCTATTTTATTTGAATATAAAATTATTAGATCAGGGCTTAAACTCGGTTAGTGTTAGGGTCATTGTCAGCATCAGTGTATTTTATTTATGTTTTTAAAAAAGGCAAAAATATAAAAAGGTACAAATTATATGTAAAAATTATATATTTTTGACTAGGAATGTCCCGATACCGATACTAGTATCGGTATCAGGGCCGATACAGGGCATTTTCACAAGTACTTGTACTTGTGAAAATGCCCCGATACATAGTGCCGATACATGCACTTTAATTTTTGTAATAGTTTCAGGCTGCCCAGAGGTACCCCGCTTGTAGGGGTCATCTGGGCAGCCTACTGGGCAGCTAAACAAGGATCTCACATAAGCTCCTCCCACAAGAGACACAGCACGTCCACAAGAGCAACAGGGGATGACACTCCCACACAGCACCAACAAATGAAGGGCGACGTGAGAGACCAGGGAACGGACTCCTGCACAGCGCCGATGGACTAAGGGCCATGTGGGTTTAACACCTGGGGTTGAGTTGGGGTTGTGGATTGCAACTGCGGAGGCTACTCAGACGGAACCCTGGTTTCACTCCCAATCTTAACGGGGAGTTAGGGTTCAAGCATCACAGCCAAAAAATAACAAGGTATAAAGTTTAGATAGGGATATTATTGCATATGCCCAATCTCAAATTAACAGTACCAGGAATCTGTATTGGTTAGGGATGACAAAAAGAGTTGCAGGAGTGTTTGCAGCTATAATTAGAGTCAGTGGTGTAGTATCCCAACAGCCCAGTAGATGGAGCACAGGGAGCTAATCCAGGTTCCCAGTATACTGTACACAGCCAATATGGTAAAGTTGAAGTGCAGTATGCACAAGTACTTGCGGTTAGGTTGTAGCAAATAAGGTGCTGGGAGTCCAAGAGGATTCGGTCCAAGGATTGTGTAGCTGGCGGTAGGAGAGCTGTGGGGTCCCAGGAGACAGCAGGCGTTCAGTCTTCAATAGTGGAACGCCATACTGTCTCACTGGGGCGCTTATATAAGGCTAAGGGCTGGGGGAGGAGCCGCTGATCGAGGCGGCGCACTTCCGCGTCCCACGGTGGAACGCATCCGGCGTCCGAACCCGGAAGTGGATGTGTGCGCTCCACCCTGGGACGCTGACGGCCGGCGACGAGAAGCGGCGGAATCCTGCACTCCCTGGTCCTTTGGTGAGCGCTGACGGCGGTTGCCGTTACAGTGGGAGACCAGGGAACGGACTCCTGCGGTGAGGGAAGCTGTGACAGGGCTTGCTGCGGGCGTGATGCGGGAAGTTGGGACAGATTGGAAGAAGCAGTGAAGACATGTAACTCTATTTCTGAGGTGTACTGGTCCTGGAACTGTGTACTACGGATCATTTAACTGTTAAATGATCCGTAGTACACATTACACACTTCCAGCACACTGCAGAAATAGTTACAATTCTCCCCTGCTAACCTGAGTAGGTTAACATTTTACCTATTCAAGTTAGCAGGGAAGAATTGTAACTATTTCTGCAGTGTGCTGGAAGTGTGTACTGTGTACTATGGATCATTTAACGGTTAAATGATCCATAGTACACAGCACACACTTCCAGTACACTGCAGAAATACAATTCTTCCCTGCTAACTTGCATAGGTTAAATTTTAACCTATTCAGGTTAGCTGGGGAGAATTGTAACTCTTTCTGCAGTGTACTGCAAGTTTGCACTGTATACTATGGATCATTTGATTTAACCTATTCAAGTTAGCAGGGGAGAATTATAACTCTTTAAATTATAAGGTTGCAGAAATAGAGTAACAATTGTCCCCTGCTTCTTCCAATCTGTCCCACTTTCCACAATTAAACTTGAAGTTATACAAAGTATTGCTGATATGAAACAATGAATGAGACATTAGATTGGATGTGGGAAATATTATGAACATGCTCCCCAGGAAACTGCCCTAAAATCATTAGTCTGTATTGTTTTAGAAAAATGTCACACGTCCCTTTAAGTATCGGTAATTGGTATCGGCAAGTACCTGAGGGACAGCACTTGTACTTGGTCTTGAAAAAGTGGTATCGTGACATCGCTATTTTTTACTATTTTGGAACAGTTTTTTTATTAAAAAAATCAGAAGATAGCCAACAACATTTAGCACCAAATGAAGACCTCATTTGTCCTGAAAAAAAAACAGGTATAAGATTTCACTTGCTGCTTTTGCTTGGATGCAAATGCTACACTCAAACTGTCTCTCTGGGATTAAATAAGGTAATTTAATAAATGGTTAAAATACTGTGGTAAAAATTAGATTTTGTGATATACCATATAATACAAGACACCTTATTGTGTGCAATCAAATTAAGGTTGCCAGATTTTCAAAATGAAATTTGGGGGCACCACAGCCATAAAACCACACCTCCATTTGTAGCCACAACCACAAAATCACACTCTGATTTTCATCAGTCCCTGAAACAATTGGTATAGGGTATTTGCTTGTGCCTTCCCCAACCTTAAAAAAACCTTATTGTGTACATTCCTTTAATTAGATCCTTAAATATAAAGCAGCATTTTAAATGCAGTGGTGTTGTACCTTTTAGAATGAATTGTGACTTGATACCATGATGGAGGAATGCAAACCCGCTCTTTAAAACATATGGATGGAGAGGAGTTACAAGGAGAATTGATTGGATTTATAACCATCTTAGTGAATTGCAGGGACATATACAGTATGTTGAGGCACATGCAAACATTATTGGAATCTTGTTACCTGTATAACCTCACAAAGAAATGGATAAGTGGTGAAACAATTGTTCCTTGTTTATAAATGAATTTGACTTTCAGACACTTTTTTTGCAACAACATTTTTGGTAACAATTACATAGTTACATATCTATGCCCATAGCTCTCAGCTTGTGTAGTAAGCGTTTGTGCGGTAGCGTATCAAATGCCTTTGAGAAATCCAGATATACCACATCTACTGGCTTACCTCCATCCATATCTCTGCTTACCCCCTCATAAAAAGTTAGTTAGTAACAATGTTTTGTTAGTAACAATGTTTTGAAAGAGAATGATGCATATTTTACTACCATGGCATGGATGTATTTGAGAAGACATGAGCAGTAGTAGATGAGCAACATACAGAGTGCAGGGGTCAGGAGTGTTTAACATAGAAAACATGGGTCAAGAGTGAGTGACATACAGAGTGCAGGGGTCAAGAGCATGTGGCGCAGAGAACAGGGGTCAGGAGTATGTAACAAAAGTGCAAGGGTCAAGGGTATGTAACAGAAGAAGCACAAGATTTGGGAGGGAGGTCGGGGAAGCAAATCCAAAGAAATCCAGAGATGGCCGACTCCTGCTGAACTGTGTGGCAATACAAAGCTGCCTAGCAACCAAGACCATTTTTAATAAGCTCAAGGATACCACAATTGGCCACATGTTTTCCCTCCAAAATGAAGAGGACCAATCCAGATGTCAGCTACCCAGAGATTCTGAACGATGACAGCCACAAACACTGGTAAGATATTTTATCAATACCTTTGATTCTGCCCAATTACAGAGTGATGCCCTTAGCAACCTAAAAACAACAACAAATAAAGAGCCAGCAGCGTATCCGACAACATAACATATAAAACACTTTTTTTTAATATATATATAATTCACCCTTTAATAGAAAATCATTACTTATAACTTGAAACTAATTTTATTTAGAAACCTATTGTTTTGAAAGTGTGACAAGCCCATGGGGCCACTTCTCCTATGCATCCCTTCCATGGCTCTAACATTCCATCTAGTAGATTGACAGCTGCTAGAGGCTTCTCTGTCCCTTGTGATTTTGTATTCCACAGGAAGTTCAGAAAAGAGTTTAATACTACTTTAAGTAAGTTAGTACATCAATGCTGCCACATGATCCTTAACTAATATTCTGCCTCCAGTCTTCTCACAATCCCCTACTCTTCCACTCCATTGCTCTAACTAATCCCTCCCCTTCTGGCTCAGCACCTGACTTCCCTTTACAGACCCCGGCTCCCATGTACAACACCTGGCTTATATCTCTCAGAAACTATTAGAGGGTTATTCACTAAGCTGCCGAAGGCAGCCTAGTGAATAACCAAGCCAAAGTGAACAGAGGCGAACGACGTTCGGCTATTCACATCAGCTCACTACAGCTGATTTCAGCCGTACATTGGTTAAAAAAATAACCGTACATTGGTTAAAAAAATTGGTTAATTTAAAAAAAAGTAAAGAAAAGAAAAAAAAAACACAGTGTGGGGTCCCCCTCCCAAACAATACCAGACCCTTTAGGCCTGGTAGGAAGGTTAGGAGGGACAACAAAAGGAAAAAGGGAAGCTTGTTTGTGCAAGATGCTGCACAAGCTGAAATACGTTACTAAGGACCGATCAACAAAGGTTAGTCAAAAAAGTATCTTTATTCAAAAATTGTATATCAAAAACGATCTGTATAAATATTGCACCATATCCATGTCACATCTAAAAGATTGACAACGTTGTCATGATTCCTCACACATACATGCATACATACATACATACAAACAGATGGGATGTAACCATCTATATTGGAGAATATATTAGGGTTCATAGTATAGGTCCCCCAGTATACTATCTGCTAGTCAAACTGACACTGGTTATGAAAGTAGATTCATTAATTGAAGATTGGAAAAAATGCAGTCCTTTCTAAACAATGAGTGAATTATACTGAAGTGATGTCATCAGAGATAGACACAAAATTGCCATATTCATAATATTCATAGTTTCTCAGACCAGATGATGTCTAATTGGCTGATTATTGGTTAATTCTCCATATAAGTGTGTATAAGAACATCCCTCAGAGAAAGCCGTTTAGTGGATAAATTTAAAGTCCAGGTTCAGCTACAGTAAAGATACTTTTTTGACTAACCTTTGTTGATCGGTCCTTAGTAACGTCTTTCAGCTCATGCAGCATCTTGCACAAACGAGCTTCCCTTTTTCCTTTTGTTGTAATTTATTTAGTTACAGACCATCATCAACTTTATAAATACATTAGATGTTATTATACTTGAATATTCTTATTCATATTACAGGGTCACTCTGGGGAAAACCACACACATTTTGTATAAAGTTAGGAGGGACGCCATTTAAAAAAAAAATTTGTGGGGTTCCCCCCATAATTCATACCAGGCCCTTAAGGTCTGGTAGGAATTTTAGGAGGGACCCCCAAGTTAAAAATTAAAAGGAAAAGTGCGTAGGGTTCCGCCCAAAAGTCATACCAGGCCCTTAAGGTCTGGCAGGAATTTTAAGGAGGAACCCCACCTCCAAAAATGGGGAAAACAAAACGTGGTTCCCCCTAAAATTCCCAACCAGACCCTTGATCCGAGCACAGGCCTGGCAGGGCAGGAAAGGGGGGGGGGTGATCAAGTGCCCCCCTTTACCAGGCCACATGCCCTCGGCCCTGGGAGGGTGCTTTTCCAGGGCCCCCGTCCCCCCTGGAAAAGCACCTTATCCGCGTGCCAATGGGGACAAGGGCCTCTTCACCACAAGCCCTGGGCATTGGTTGTGGGGGTGTGGGCAGGGGGCTTATTCACATCAGGGTACCCTTTTAATAAAGAGGCACCCAGATGCAGCCCCCCCTTGTGAATGAGTAAGGGGTACTTGTACCCCTACCCATTCACTAAAAGGTTAAAGTAAAATTTAAAAAAAAGGCCTGACTTTTAGAAAAAAATCCTTTGAAAAAACAAAACAAAACAAAGCATTTTGACAAGTCCCAAAAATGGATCCACCGACTTAATTCAGGGCCAATCACGACGTCCAGCGTTGTCCACGATGACGACTCGGCGAAGTAAAAAAAATAAAAATAGTTTTTAAAAAAGAAACCCGATGCCCGCCCACCTGCACACGACGAACTCCAGCCGCAGAATTACATTCTGACAGATGCCGGCAAAATATAAACAATTGGGCGGAGCTAGCGGTGACATCACTGTTTACGTGCGTCTAGCACCCGATATTCTGCCCGTAGGTATCGGACAAATCAAGGCAAATGGGCAGAGCCAGCCGTGATGTCATGGCTGGCTCCGCCCAGTTGTAATTTAAGGACAGCCCAGTGTCCTCAAATAACCTGAGGATGCTGTTCTGTCTTTGAGGGACAACAACTGGGCGGAGCGAGTCGTGAGATCACAGCTGGCTCCGCCCAGCTGTCATTTGCGTGGAGAACGGTCGGCTTTGCAGACTATACTCCCCACTTCAGCTGTCACTATGGCTCAGCCGAGCCAAAGCATATGCGTTCGACTCGGCTGCTGTACAGGCTATTGTGATTAGCCCGTACAGCAGCCCTTCGGTTTGACTCCAAAGGGCTCTGGCAGCCGAAGTGAGCCGAAGCTGTGGCTGGATCCTTCGGCTCCTTACTGAATAACCCCCTTAGTGAGGTCCCTGCACTTGAGTTTCTCAGTCTGCATACCTGCTGTGGCCAATCTTTCTGCTGAACTTTGTTTTATATTATTAGGAATGCAAGAGGAGGTGTTGCAACACACAGGCCGGGTATCTAAAGCTGGCCATATACCTATAGATTTTCTGCTGATTTTCTATGGTCAAATGGAAAAAGTGCAACAGATTCCTCCATCTATGCTAAACTGTGTGAATGGAGGAATCTCCACCTGGGCCAAGCTTCAGTATCTTGCTAGTCAGCCCCACTAGCACTCAAAATACCTGATTCTTAATCCCAGTCCTTGTGTACCTTTTCCCCATTTCAGACATGGAAAGTGCTGTAGTGCTGTTACATATTAGCTTGGCAATGCATCAGAATGCATTGTCTATCCTGCAAACATTTATATATTACTTCAAAATCTGTAGCTGATGCCACGTGGATCCATGGGAAGGAACTTTCATTATACTGTATATTGCAAATCTGAAAAGAAAAAAAAAAGGATTCATCTCCTTCCACTTCTGGAATTGTAGCAGGTTGTTCCATGGGCATTGCCTAACTGACAGATGAGGGGTTAGTTGTGATGCTGTACATGGTCTGCTAGAGAACGCATTTTATATGTATGAAAAGCTAACATAAAGCCATGCTGGGATGACAGTGTCCTTCTTTGCCCCCGCTAGTCTAAGCAGTTTTAGTTTAGCCTTTCTCAAATTTGTTTCAGAATCAGCTGCACCACGACACAGAGCAGCAGCCGATGACAGGAGGAAGACTTCCGCGTCACGTGACGGCCCGCAAGCAGCAGCGGCGCTGTGTGTTAGATGCCGGCTGCTGCTGCTCTGTGTCGTGGTGCTGGCGCTGGTGGTGAGAGCGCACTATACAGAGGTGGGTGATGCCATCTACGGGAATCGGCGGGTCAGTCCGGGGGGGTGTGCAGCTTTGCCCTAGGCAAGGCAGCATCGCCGCCCTCAGCGAATCTGCCGCTCCAGGCAAACGCCTTGTTTGCCTCGCGGCAGATACGCCCCTGATCAGAATACTAAAATGAATGTCCTGGTCAAAAAAACAGTGAGTAGAATTCAGTGAGGCAAATTACCATCAGTGGTTAGTAAACAGGGCAGCAGGTAACAGGCAGATAAAATGGATCATACAAGTCATCATACAAACACAATGTGGTTCTTCACAGTGTAAACTCCAGCTTTGGCTCTTCTGCCATAAAAACACATGTCTAAGTACAAAACATTTTCATAGGTTCAATGTGTTATAAAACGGCTTCAACAGAATGTAAGTTTAGCTGTTTTGTTCAGCAGTCTGAATTTTCTTAAATAACGTTAGGCTTGTGTGTGTCTGATTCCACACGTTGCGACACAGCTCTCTTGTTTTTGTCCCAAACAGCAGTCTTTGGAATGCTCTCTGTTGTTTTTGGTATTGCCCACAATGTTACAAAAGAATATGCCACTCCACCTGCCATGCTGAAAGAGGAAAAACATACAATAGAATTACTTACATGAACTGTGACATTGTTTAAATTCTTATTTAAAGAAGAACTCCAGTTTAAAAAAAAAAATACAACTAAATAACCCTTGCAGTGGGGCACCCCCACACTGCAAGGGTTAAGTGCTCATTTTTGTCCAGGTTCTAAAAAAAAAAATTATACTCACCAGGCTATCTATACACAGTCTATGCACAGTGTGTAGGGCATGATGACACCAGGATCCTCCGATCACTGAAGCAAAGGAGGAGGGACTCTGGAGACACCGGTCTAAAAACAAGCCGGCTCGGACGACGGTCTAGTAAGTATATATATTTTTTTTAGCTCCTTGATACAAACATGCACTAAACCATTGCAGTGCTGGGGTAGCCCCACTGCAAGGGTTAATACATTTTTTTCCTGGAGTTCTTCTTTAAAGCTGAAGTTTAGGTATCTATGAAATGTCATTTAATGTAGCTGAACTATTTTTCAATTGAATCTCCATGTTAAAGTGTATATAAAACCAGAAAAAACATTACATCTCTGCAATGCATGTTCATTTTCCCATGTTCTTCCCTTTAAAGGCCCTACTAGTACAGAAGAATATCTGTTGATCTGCCAAAAAAAAATAGATTCAGCTTTTAATGTTCTAATGCTTGCTTACATCACAGAAGCATTTTTGTGCATGGCGTGGTGTCAGTCCTCTGCACCACTTTTTGCTAAACTACTTTCCTTCTGTCTTCATCTCCAAAGTATAGGCACTAACTGACCTGTTCTGAGATAAGAACTGGGACTTTCAATTTTTGTCAAGATTAATACTTTTTTCCTTTACTTATAAAACAGACCTAACAAAATGCATTTATTTGTTACAGACCAAAATGAAGCAAAGAAGAGGTGGTCATTGATAGAATTTACATACACTACTGGCTTGAGTTTGTGTTCAAGAATTGTCTCTGGTCAAGCAGTCTGGCAGCTTGGTGCAACAAACATCGGCCCAGGTTGGAGATTGAGGAAAATACCTGGCCATTCTTTACCTATTAAGTAGTGCCCAATACATGGCATATACTTTAAATGTATTGTTGTTATGGATGATAGATAGATGCATGCCAGTGGCTGCATTGTTAACTTTCAGAGGCTTCCTTACTCAGTCTCCACAGACATTCCCCTATGGTCCTGAATGGGCTGTCCAGATTTTGAGTACAAACCCTTGGAATTCACAGGTAATAAATGTGCTTCACAACATAACTGGTCATAAGAAATAAAACTTTAGTGTAAACATTATTCATACCACAAGCATTAACATGGAACCATGTGTGAGTTTTCTCAGGATTAGGAGACTTATGCTATAAGACTTAATAAGAAGTAAAATGCCTGCACCAGTAAAGAAGAGACTGGATTTTTACCTCTCCTGCTGCCTGCACAACTGAACTCTGCTCGTATCATAGGAAATCATCCTCCAATGTCTGCTACAAAACCATCCGCTCTGAGAGTGTTGGTCTCCTGTGTTTTGCAGCAGCACTCCCTGGTTCCTCTTGTTGACCTTAACTGCAATATTGTCTTCTGTAGAGGTAGGAGGAACCAGTAGGAGTAGCTGAGGGACCAGACCTGTATTCTGTTTCTACTTTACATGTACAGTATGTGTTTCACTCACATTTCACTTATACGACAGGTCTTTTTTTTAAGTGTAAAAGAACCCTGTTAAGAAAAAATGTCATTGCTAGTCTCCTTTTTGTGAAACTATGCTACGTGCCTGGCACTCAATCTTAATCATTTCTATATCCAGAGCTGGCGCTAGTGTAAGGCAGCTTAAGCGACCGCCTGAGGGTGCCAGCGGAAAAATCCTAGCACAGCTGCAAACATTGTTGGATGTAATGGTGTGAACGATGCTCCGGCTTTTGCTGCAATGATCTCAGCTCCATCCCCACCCCCTGTGATGATTTTTGAGCTGCTCAACCAGCACTGTGTCTCTAGCTGTCACCCCTGCCATCTGCCTTCTCTGGAGCCTCACTCTATCTCCTCCTGCCCACTCTCTGCACTGTAGGAGGAGCCGTTCTCAGCTCTCTCTCCTCACACTGCCTCCTGGTCCCGAGCTGTAGGTGTGTGTGTGTGTGTCTCTTTCTCTGTGAGCTTGTAAGCCTCTAAGTCATAGTGCCCAATTCGTAATTCATATGCAGTGTGTGAAGTGTTATATCTAACTGATCTCTAAGTAAAGAGAAGACAGATAACGTTAATATAAAAGTCTTCTACACTGTAAAGCATGAGTTGCATTTTTTGTTTGTGAATAAAAAAGCCTTATTTATTCATATCACCCATATATATTTTACATGTTTTATTTACATACATTGTGAAGTAACAAAAGCTGAACCGAAACTACAGAATGTAGAAAAAAAAAGTACTATCCTTCCACATGCATGTCAGTACACAAAACAAAATTTTGGAGAATAAACATTAAGGGCTAGTTAACACAAGCCCCAGTGCGTTCTGGCCCGATTTGGTGAATGAATGGCAGACGCACGACTGCGCGGAGAGCGAGCACTCATAAAGTAGATCAGACAAAATGGTTTATAGTCTCGTAGTCTCGCTACCATCAGGGTCAGCACTAGGTCAAGGCTGCATAGGCAGCCACCTGAGAGCACCTGGGGGGGGGGGTGCAAAAATGCTCCTTCGCCTATGTAGGGAAAGATCCTTGCACCGGCCCGGTCTATATCACTGACCTTAAACAAGTTAGCAAACCTGTGCCTGTTTTTTTAAGGATTGCGGCAAAATAGTTTTCATTGGATTTTCAAGGTTTAGCAATTGTGGTAAATAGAAAGAGCCACACACTCCTATTGTATATTCGGGTAAGGTTAGAAAAATTGCACATAAAACACAAAATCCAGTCTGTTTATAAAATTTGGATGTGGTCATATAAAAAAGGTTGACTGGATTAGTTAGAACATTGTTAAAAGATTTAAAAACTGGCCCTTTTCCAACACCAATGCAGTTTGATGGTCTAACTGACTGGATATACATTGAATGGAATATTTAGGTAGACCCTAAAAAACTAAATTAGTTGCTACTGCATACAGAAATTGGACACGTTGTAATGTGTGTGTAGCCAGTTGAACACTGGGATGCACACCTTCCAATTTTTTCTTTCAAATAACTTTCCTACAGTATGGTGGATGATAATATACAAAGAGAGGAATTCATCGAGACTAGAGCAGACAAAATCTGGAGCAGCTGCCCATGTCAACCAACCAGCTTAGCTGAACAAACAGAAAAGAGAAGCTGATTGAATGCCATGGGCAACTCGGTCTGCTCCAGTTTTGATAAATTTCCCCCAATATGCTCTATTGCCTCTAAGAATTGGAAAGCTCACATGGGTAGTTGGTGCAGAGAAGACTTATCGGTATGAGCTCTATAATTCAGAGGCTTGTTTTGCTTTTGAATTGCATGGGTTTGTTAGTGAGCTGTGCACATGTTTCTTGTTGATATTAAATTTGATAACATCTTTAATATCTAGTAATATTTAAAAACAGTTTAAAATTATGAATGCTGTATAATCCACTGTGTTTCGTACAATTTTACTAAACATGCAATTCTTTTGTGTTACGCTTTAAGAACGGGACAATTCAAAGCAGCAATCATCTTAAGATTTACAGCAAGTTCCCAGCTCTTTTCATATTTTTCTTATGTAGGATAAAAAGAAAATAGGAATGACGATCATGAGACAACTTTGTTCTGCAAGCTGTTAAAATTTAGGACAACATGTTTCCAGACGGTGGTTTGGATTGCCAACTCTGGGCTCGACCTAACGGAAACATGGAGTCCTAGCCCATTGTCATATTACTACGCCTGTTGGTTTAAATATTAGCTCCAGAAAACACTGAAAATACAGTCTTGTGTGGAACTCTAGGAGTAAAAAACTAAAATGTAAAGTGTATCTAAACCGAGGAACAAAAAGATTTATATATTGAGGCTTTTTTTCTTCAACTTTTCTTTTTTTTTTAACCTGCCATTAACACACTTCCTGTCCATGGGGTAACAATGCATTTTCACTGTACTGCATCTATGGAGTAGCAGTGTTGTCAGTCTAGGATAGGAAGTATTCAAAACAACTTAGTTTGCGCTAGGAGTCGGATTTAAAACACCAGCCGCAACAATGTGTGTTTAAGTGTTTTAAAGAGAAGTGGGTATGTTGCGCTTGGTATGTGAATCTATTTGGTTTTACTGTGAATAGTGAAAATAGTCAGTCACAGTATGGTTCCGTGGTGATTAGTCCAATGTGAAAAATTATTCTGCAAATATGTGAAGTGAATATAAAGTGCAGGATAAGGTGAGTGATGTCTGTGAAATAATAATAATAAAAAAAAAAAGTGTGATGGCCTTTTGATAAAAATCCTAGTGAGTGATTGGTTCTTGTGTGTATCTATTAAAATCTACAACTCCAAGGTTCCGTCTAAACGAAATAGTGAAAGCTAGTTGTATTCGGCCATAAGGGAAAGTGGGAATGTGCAATAATATGAGCAAAAATATAATATATAAACAAAAATATATAAGCTCAAAATATAAGCAAAAATATAATATAAACTCCCAATAAGTGCAAGTGTTCAATGTAGCACACAGTAGGCAATTAGATCGTTAGTTGCAGCCAACCTCAACTTGCCCAACAAGTTAGACTGGTGTAATCCCATCCACAAAATCCGCAACAGTGGGGCGGAGCCACCCAAACCAACACACCAATTGGACAAAGCATGCAAATGTATCCACTCAGTGAGCTGGTAAATAACCAATACCGGATCGATAATAATAATTATTTTTTTTATTATTTCACAGACATCACTCACCTTATCCTGCACTTTATATTCACTTCACATATTTGCAGAATAATTTTTCACATTGGACTAATCACCACGGAACCATACTGTGACTATTTTCACTATTCACAGTAAAACCAAATAGATTCACTTACCAGGCGCAACATACCCACTTCTCTTTAGGATAGGAAGTATGTTAGGA